GGCTCAGCCCTGTGGGCTGGGGCAGGAACACACTCTTGGCACTCGTTTCTCTCTGCTGTGAGGTCATGGTCCCCGTGGGTCCAGGTTGGGCTGAGCCTCCCTCAGGGAGAAATGCACCGGTGACTTGTGGCTGCCCTCGGGCACTATTGTGGCTGTGCAGGGTTCGCCGCAGTGTGTGGTGCCACGTGTGTCTGGCAGTGTGGGCAGAGCCAGATCTGGCCGTGGCTGCTCTGGGTGGGTGGCACAGCTGAGGTGCTGAGCAGAGGGGCCAGGAGTACCCATGGTGCAGGGTTCCCAGGGGTCAAGTGTCCACACAAAGCGTATGCCTGTTGCACTCCCCCCACAGACTCGGCCGAGCGGGTGGTGCAGCGGTTTGAGGCACCTGGTGTGTCCAACTACACAGCCCTGCTGCTGAGCCCGGACGGTGGGACCCTCTACCTGGGGGCGCAGGAGCTGCTCCTCGCCCTCAACACCAGCCACTTCCAGCCTGGCGCCCCAGCTCGCAGGGTGAGCCTGGGAATGGGATGGGATGCCCTTGAGGAGGGAGGGGGCACCCAACCAGCTGGGGTGTAGGGGGTCCCCTCCCCACCAGCATCTGGGGGCTGTGTGAACTGCCATGCATTCCAGGAATAGCCGCCCCAGAGAGCGATGGTTGAGTTGGGGAGGATGTGAGTGCTGGAGATGAGCCCAAGGAAGGGATATGGGGACCAGCTGGTGACGGGGGGCTCCCAGTGACTGTCCTCTCTCTGCCGCTGCTATGGAGGGCAGATGAGGAGAAGAAGAGGCAGTGTGTGTTCAAAGGCAAGGACCCCCAGGTAAGCCTCCGTGCTGGTGGGTGTCAGGGGCTGCAGTGGGCGTGGGCAGTGCTGTGTGTGGGGTGGGCATGGGCAGGAGGGCTGAGCTGAGGGCTGAACTGGGTTCTCTGGCCCCTATAGAGGGACTGTCACAACTACATCAAGCTGCTGCTGCGGCTGAACAGCACCCACCTTTACACCTGTGGTACCTGTGCCTTCAGCCCGGCCTGCACCTACATCGTGAGTATGGGATCCTGTGGGTCCCCCCATGCTGTCAGGGCCCTGCAGCGGGGTCCTGAGTGCTGGAATGGGTGCTGCCAGCTCACAGCCTTGTCCTGTGGTAGAACGTGCAGGACTTCAGCCTGGAGAGGGACGCATCGGGGAAGGTGCTGCTGGAGGATGGGAAGGGACGCTGCCCCTTCGACCCTGAGTACCGCTCCACGGCAGTCATGGTTGGTAAGGCACAGCATCCCGGGCCCCTCGCCCTCCTCCCTGTACCACCCCAGCACCCTCACCTTCCCTGCAGTGCCCTGGAACCCTCACCCTCCTCCCTGCACCTGCCCAACTGGGCTGAGGCAGGGCCGGGCCGTCACGGACCCCAGTGGGGAGCAGACCCGTGCTGGGTGGCACATGCTAGGTCCCAGCAGGAGTGTCTCTTTGGCAGATGGTGAACTCTACGCTGGGACTGTCAGCAACTTCCAAGGCAACGAACCAACCATCTCCCGCAGCCAGGAGAGCCGCATCGCCCTCAAGACTGAGAACTCCCTCAACTGGCTTCAGGGTGAGTGCTGGGGCCAGCACGGCTGGTTGGGGTCCTTGACCCCCAGGGTGTGGGAGGCCTGGGTTGGGACCAGCAGTGCTGAGAGTCCCTGTGTCCCCAGACCCGGTGTTCGTGGGCTCAGCCTACCTACGGGAGAGCTTCCCTGCTGGCAACCCTGAGGGTGATGATGACAAGGTCTACTTCTTCTTCAGCGAGACTGGGAAAGAATTTGACTACTTTGAGAACACCATCGTCTCCCGCATCGCACGTGTGTGCAAGGTGGGTGCAGGGCAGCAGGAGTGTGCAGGGGGCCATGCTTGGGGTGTGGCTCACCCCTGGGGTGGGGGGGATGTGGGACCACCCTGCACATCTCTGTCTCTTGGTGCCTGGACCCCTGCACTGCTCGCCCAGTCCCCGGTGCACCCTGTGGCCATGGCCATGGCATCAGACCCTGACCCGCTGTGCCTTGCAGGGGGACCAGGGCGGGGAGCGTGTGCTGCAGCGACGGTGGACAACCTTCCTGAAGGCACAGCTGCTCTGCTCACACCCTGAAGATGGCTTCCCCTTCAACGTGCTGCAAGACATCTTTGTGCTCACCCCGGGTGAGCAGCGCTGGAGGGAGACGCTTTTCTATGGCGTCTTCACCTCACAGTGGTAAGCAGTGGGGAAGACCCGGGGGAGTCAGAGGGTCTTGTTGGAGCTGGGGGCTTGATCTTGCGTGATGTCTGCCTCTTCCCACCAGGAACAAGGGTGGGTTGGGCAGCTCAGCTGTCTGCGCCTTCCCCATGCGCAGTGTGCAGCGCGCCTTTGGCGGGCTCTACAAGGAGGTGAACCGCGAGACACAGCAGTGGTACACAGACACTGGCCCCGTGCCAGAGCCCCGACCGGGCACGGTAGGTGACCCCTCAGCACCTGCCTGAGTGGAGGATGCGGCACAGCCCCTTGTACTCTCCTGGTCCTGGTGGCCACTGCAGCATGGCCACCTACCCCGAGCTCTGACTGTACCCCTTCCTCTCCCCACAGTGCATCACCAGCCACACACGGCACCTGAAGATCAACTCCTCACTGCAGATGCCGGACCGGGTGCTGAACTTTATCAAGGACCACTTCCTGATGGACAGCCCTGTGCGCAGCCAGCCACTGCTGCTGCAGAGCCGCTGGCGCTACCAGCAGATCGGTGTGCACCGCGCACAGGGCTTGCACGGCACCTACGACGTCCTCTTCCTGGGCACAGGTGGGTGCAGGTGGGCTCTGGCAGGGCAGGGGGTGTGCTGTGCCAGGGGATGCCCCAGCCCTGCTCAGCATAGCCCCTCTGTTTGCAGATGATGGGCGGCTGCACAAGGCTGTGCGGGTGAATCATGGCGTCCACATCATTGAGGAGATCCGCCTTTTCGCTGCTGGGCAGCCCGTTCTGCAGCTGCTGCTGGACCAGGACCAGGCAGGAGCCAGGGCCAGGGGGACACACTGGGGGTTCAGCCTGTGTGGGGCAGGTCTTGTCTGTGGGCTGGGGACAGGGACCTGGGAGGTCAGGGTGTGCGGTATCTGACCCCGCTGTGTCCCCTCCTGCAGGGCCTTGTTTACGCAGCCAGCTACACAGTGGTGGCCCAGGTGCCCTTT